GCCTTTCCCATGGCCACCACATATATTTAGCCACACGAAAATTAAATTCTGTTTGTATTGAGAGTGGAAAAGTTATTGGAACCTAGGGTGAATGGAAGAAGGAACAGGGGAGAATTCTAGTACCTTCCTCCTGTGATGCTGGTCCAGATAAAAGCTGGAGAGCTGAGAGGGTGTCCTATTTGTTTAGTTTGAAGGAATGCTGACTGACATTTAAAGCAGAGTACATATCAGTGGCATGAAGGGAAGAAGAAAACTGTGTGAAACTTTGTTTTAATTTCTGGTTTGGTGCCCTTTCTCTGTCAGGGCTACTTAAGCAACAAAAACAACAACAAAATTCTATGTGCTCTGACACAGACATTAAACTCCTCTTTGCCCTGGCTTAAAAAGCAAAAAGACTCATTTGGCATAAAACACTTTAAAGAAAGCAGTGAGTATTCTGACTTTGGAATAAGTCTGAGTGAGTCTGACCACAGAGTGCTGCAGAGGAAGTACTTAGGGAAAAATTGTTCGTCTGGGGTTTTAGAGTCAGTTAGGAACTTGTCGGCGCTACTTTATATATGTGCGAAGCTCAGAAGTCCTGTATTTTCCTGATTGTATTTGAGGATGTGAAATATTACACTTCATATTGTCCCAATCACTGCTCTGTGAATAACCTACAGCGTATTGCCCTGGAAGAAACACTGAAGCACCCATAGGAATCCCGATATTTTCCTTGCTAACACCATGCACAGGGTTCTTGTGGCAGCTCAGAGCAAGGGCAGGTGGGAGGCTTTCACACTGCATCAATAGGGGCCTCAAAAACAGGGAAAAAAAACCCTCTTGTGAGGAAGCTCTGGTTCTGAACTCTGACAATTTTGACGTGCTCTGCTAGTGCATTTGTATTGTTGCGGTGAAGGTGAATTTGGGTGGCTGCACTATAGTTCCATCTCACACAAGACTTTAATGTACCCATACATGGACATACACTGATTTATGCACGTGGCACACTAACTTGCCTTCTACTGCTTGGCCCATGGCTGTCATCCTTTTGGTTGAAAACTGGTACCAGGTTATTTAAGAATGTTAGCTGAGATGAAAAATGCAGTATGTAATGAAAAATGCAGTATGTGAAGTAAGATCTCTCTACAATTAAGCTCTCCTCTCTCTCAAACTTTCTAGTATTTGCATTAATATTTACCCCATCACCCTTTAAATGAAATGATGTGCTGTATGATGCTATATCCCTAGCAACAAAGAATGAGAGAGACTGGGAATAAGATATGTGCAGCTTGAAACACTTATCGATCAATCCACTTCTGAAAACTGCATGTGAACCTTACAAGTAGGGCAACAGTACAAGTAGGACTATGCATTTTACTCTTAAATACATATAATCTTTATAAAAGAGAAATTTGAACACGCTTGTTTGATATTTGTGAATAGAAAACCGATGGCTGAGAAAGTACTACTAAGCAAGTTTTTTTGTAAGGCTGTAATACTCCAGAGGAATGTTTTAATATTCTCCTGCAAATTATTGTTTAAAAAAGAAAAGTATCAAGATTTTACAGGCTCTGCTCCAGATCCGGTGACCATTTATAGTCAGGCTAAATGGTCTTACTAGATGTCTGTGGGGAATTGAGACTGGTTTTCTCTGTAGAGTGTTTAGATAATGAGGCAAACTTCCACCTTTTTATTACTCATTGGAATAATTTAATGGATGTAAATGAAATTTTCCAGTCTTAACTGAGATGATGTGTATGCCATCTCACTGTCTCCTCACGTGCTTCAGATGTGAAAGGATTTTCTTTCTGGTTACAAGCAAGAGTGTCTTGGAAACATCTGCAGAAGGGCTGCAAGACAAACAGGATATGCATCCTGGTTTACTTCTAGTTCTAACAGCAAAAATACAGAGGGATTTTTGCTAAGCACTTTCAACGTCTTTTAAGCTATGCAGGAGTTTTTCATAATTGTCAAGAAAATCCGAAGTTAATCCTGGTGGGAGGTGTGAGTCTGCTCATGAATGTCTCTCTTCTGCCAGTGGGGATTACTGAGAGCATTCCTGTGTGGTTCATCCCCATAGCAGGCTGTGTTTGTGCAAGGGTGGGCCTTTCTAGGGCATGATTGTAGGGGGTTAGGTCGGTGCTCTGCCTAGCTCGGTATTTTGTCTCAAGTAATACAAGTAGAGTTTGTCCAAGGCAAGAGGCATTTAAGCAATAAAGCATGCCTTCGTTGATCTTTTCCCAATTATAATCTCCCAACAGTGTAAAAACTTCCTGAGCCAGAAGCTGTATCAAAACCACTTTTCATTAGCTGTGGATTCTCCATTAATTTGTCTAATCTTTTCTTCTGAATGCCATTAAGTTTTTGATTTCCACAGCATCCTGTGATAAAGAGTTCATGATTCCATCCTGAACCTTTTTCTCCTAATGGATCTTGTCCGTTGTTCCTGTTTTATCAGCCACTGTAAAGGCAACGGGATAGAGATTTCTGTTTTGGGATATGGAGAGGACTGAGTGGCATGTAATTTTTTGATCCTCTTGAAAAGTCTGAGAACTCAGTTTCCTGTTTTTTCTTGACAAGCTTGCCAGAAGCTTGACAATCTCACTTTTTTAGGTGCTTCAGCTTTAGTATCGTACAGTCTTGCTGCCCAATCTGTAAATTGAGATGAGCTCAGGCTGGTTTGAAACCTGTATAGTCTACTGTAAGTCACCTTTTGCATCCCATGAGGTAATCTTACCCTTAAGTCTCAACTTCTGGTGAAGGATCAGGACACTTGACATGATTAAATTTAATAAAGCTAGCGGATCTGAGCCAGACTTGCAGCTGATGCGTATGGCTGTTAAATTACATTCGTATGCAATGATCAAATTCTTTCATACTAGTTTTCCACGCTTATTTTGTTCAAAACCATACTGAGCTATTCGCAAAACATAATGTTTTATATCTCTCTACAAATAACAATTTGCCACTTCCAAATTCAGCTTATGAATTTTTAGAATAATATAGCTATTTTTTCCTCTCACTTCTGTTCCTTCAATCTTGGTGCCTTTGGCTGTGTAAGAAGGAAAGGAGGCTGTTACTGCAAAAAAAGAACTTAACTGCATTTGTCTGAAAGTGATCTGGAAACTGTACAGCTTTATCTCAAGTTTCAAATAATCACTGCAGTCAGGAGGATTACACACGCTCTTCTGGCAAGCTTTATAACCATAGAAAAAGAGCAGTTTCATTACAGGTAAGATGACCTTTTTTGGCTCACATGGTGTATCACAGGAGGCTGTGCTGACATTCTCAAATCCATCTGTTGACTTTATAGACAATTAAGGCTGCTGAAATAACAGACTTTCTTGACCAGCAGTTCTGTTTTTCTGTGTAGGAGAAACTTCCATTTATCTTGTACTAAAATGCAGCCAAGCTTACAACAGTTCCCTTTGAAAAATACTAGCTTGTAGTATCATTTACATTTACAGTTAAGACTCTTCAAGTCAAAAAGGAGAGTTTCGTTCTGTTAGTATAGATAGGCTTCTGGGTGAGCTGGCTGGGTGTAGTGTGCATGGTCCTGTGATCAGCTGGCAAAGCACACTTGGAGGAAAAAGTTGCAGAGATGCAAAGTGTGTCAGGGAACTTCAGAGTATTGCAGTGAGCATATTGCACTTGATATGGAGTTATGCTTTACAGATATTCTTGTAGTATAAAGCTAAAATTGCCACTTAAAAAAAAGTACATATAAGGAAGAAGGAATCTTGCTTTGAAGCTGTTGAAATAACTTATGGGAAAGCTTTTTAAGTTGATATTCCTGCCTCTTCCCACTTCCTAACAGAAAAACACTTTTGTCCTGTTTTGCAAAAAAAAAAAAAAAGAAAAAAGAAAATCATTAGGGTACTTAACTGCTTACACAAAAAGAGAAATCGTACTATGTGCTAAAAGCAATCTGTGCACTGCAGTGTGGAGAAACCACAAGGAAAACCAGAGTTTGATGTTTGAGCAATGTTCCATTACATGCCTTGAAACTAGAGTGAATATAGTTTTCTTTTTAGCCAACACTTAGATTTTAAAAACCAGAGATGAAGGTTAGACAGATGGGCATTTAGAGATATGCTCAGACACCTACTGTTTTTTACACATTCTACATGCTTGGTACTGTATCATACCAAATAAGCAGTGGTGCTGTTGAGAGTCAGTGCTTATTCTGCACGTTCTGCTGGTTTCACTGATCCTTAGTATGGGTTTTCTATAGAAAGCCTGTAGTATTTGGAGGGAAATAATGCACTCTGAATTATTCAGTGGAACGGAGAATACAGGGGTATAACAAAATCATAGGTGCTCTTCCCTTTTCCAACACAGGGGAAAGACACCGTCTTTTGAGTTTGGTGCTTTTGAGACTGTTGGAGGAGAAAGGGGCTGTAACTTCCATTATGAAATACAGAAACATTCAGTACCAGAAAGGTTATAAAATGTTGGTTTCAGGGTTTTTAAAAATTCTTACTCTTTTAGACCCGTATTATTTTTTATTTCCCCAGAAATCATGGGTTATATTATATTCAAACAGCTGTCTGTGTTTGTGGACAATATTGCTGAAACTGATAGTACATGTGTATTTAGAATGTTCTTTTAATCACTGTCTCTCGCTGGCAGGGAGCTGCAATGACAGTTGTTTTGTGCAGGTGGAAGTAATACAACAGTAAAATAATGTGTTGATTGACTGTGGAGTTTGCTTTTGAGTCTGACAAACACAAAAAATCCCCGCCTTACTTGCTTGATGCTGAAAAAGTGACATTTATTGCACCTGCTATTCTTACGTGGAACATCCCTGCATGAGTGCAAGTTTTAAATTCTTACAGTTACAATGGTTTAGTTGTAAAATAAACAACTACATACCTATTTTAAAACTATCAGTAAGGCCCCACGGTCTTGATAAAATTGATTATCCAACAGAGAGGGTGATTCAATATGTATGTTTTTTTTAAAAAAAAAGTCCATAATCTTATAGTTTCTGCTCTGATTTTTTTTTTTCTCTCCTTTAGTTCCTTGGCATAGCATTTCTTGGGATTGGACTGTGGGCCTGGAATGAAAAGGTAAGCTGAGTATAGCATGGTTTTCCTCTTTCTTTCTCTTTTTTTTTTTTTTCTTCTGATAAAATATTGGAATAGCATTATGCTGCACAATTTGTGTCCACACAGTTTCTGCTGAAACAAAATCAAGCTTCTCTGTCAAATAAAGCCTTGGCTTGGCTCACCTAGAGGAAGATCCTTGGCATCTTTCCCAAGAATGCCTTGGCAAGAAATCGTGGCTGACACTTGCACATAAAATAACCATTTTGATCTGTGTATGCTCAAACTGCAGCTCAAATGCTGGAACACTCTACTGAAGGCAGTATGCATCTGCTGCATGTGTCCTCAGGAATGGAGAGGGAGCCGGCATCTCAGAGGGCAGCCTCCTGAAGATAAGCCTTCTCAGCTTTGCCTTAACATAGCATGCTGATTGCTGTTCCTCTTGAAAAAAAAAAAACCAAACCAAAACAAAACCCAAAACAAAGAAAAATAAAACCAAAACAAAACCCAAAACAAAACCCAAAACAAAGAAAAATAAAACCAAAACAAAATGAACCCTGAAAACTAAGCCAACCCGAGACAGAATAACTGTTGGCTTTTCTTGTGCAAATAAAACTGTCCACTGAAATACTCTCTGTGGCAAGACTGTAAAATTGACTTGGAAATGGGAAGAAAGTGGGGCAGGGAAAGAGAAAACATTTGTGAACCAAAGCCTGATTCTTACTTTGCTTGCTGCAGAAGTTGGGAAGAAGATAAAATATCAAGACATAATATACAAAACAAGTCAGTATGTGTTGGGTTACTGAATGAAGAGTTTGGCTTGCTAAAAGACAACAGCTAAAATTAAAGCCAGTTTCCTTTTCTTCTTTGTTTAAAAGATTGAAAATAATAAAACCTGGCTGATAACAGTGGTGCTATGATTTTCAGTACTGTACCGTTTTTTTTCTTCTTTTAATGAAAAACACCGATTAAGTTTCAAATTGATGTTCATTTAATGCATAACTGGCGCTTGCAGCAGAACAAACAACACATTGGAAGCACTGGAATTTTGCCACGTAAAAATTCAGGACAAATTTTGCTGGTTCAGATGTGAATTGTTAACTTAGATTCTAATTGCTCTGTGCATATGCCTTGGATGTAGATAATTACAAATACTAATGGCATATTAACTCACATTGTACACATCAATATATATATGTATATTTACATACCATGTGATATTCATGTTGGATGGCTTGAATAGGCTTGGAAAGAGGTGCTGTGATTTTTTTTTTTTTTTTCATTCAGCAAAGATGTAAAAATATGTTTTATTTAATACTGTGAACATACCCACAGAGCTTATACCTGTGTCTAAGCCTCAGAGAAGAACTTTATTTTGGAGTCGCTTTCTAGAACATTTCTTAACATTTTTGTGTCATTTTAGTGGGTAACACAAATGATTCATCCTCAGAATGAATGAGCAGGTAAAGGGAAAACAGTTATTCTAGTGTTTGAAGTCTAAAATATGCCAGTCTTACAGCTAGAGGGTGTTCTGGCAGAATAATGGTTCATTAGGTTTTACATATTTTCTATATGGGAAAGCACACTGCCCTCTTTCTAGAAAAAAATTCATTCAATTCATAATTGCTAATAGCCAGAAGCCAAAGCTCATGTTTTCACTTAGGTTTTGGACATCTGTTGACAAGTCATCTTAGACTATTTCTAATCAGATCCAGAAAGTGGAAGAAAATGCCACATTGTTTTTGAGACAAGCAAATAAAAGTGCCTAGAGCAGTTTAATATGCATTAGCTCACAATCCATATATAGTTGGTTTTTCTATAGAAATTAATAAATAAAATACTGTTTGTTTTAAAGCTTAGGTCTCTCCTTGAAAATGAGCATCTCTCCCAAGCTTCTCTAACTGTTGTGTCCTGCGGTGCTTAGTGTGGACTGTTTCCGTTCATGGTTCTATCAACTAAAATGCAGTATAGGTATAGCTGAACTGCAGAGCTCTTGAGCACAGACAGACTTGGTTTTTGTAGTAGGAATGATGGAAAAATGGACTTGTCATGCCAATTTAAGACCTTTCTTTCACTCATCTCTCTGGAGGACAGGAAGCTGCAGTCAGCAAGATCAAGTTCCAGATACTCATAGGCCCAGTGCAACTTAGCGGGGGGCAGATCAGTTACATCCCAGAGTTGTTCTTGCCACAGCTGGGGAGTTGAGGGCAAAAGCCAAGTAGGTGAAGCTTAAGATTTGAAAGATCTGTAACCTAGCTGAAAAGCATTTCTCTGAGTAGATTGCATCTTGCCCAAGGCTAGCTTAGATATCCCCTTAGGCGTTATGGGCTGTTGTGAAGGTATACTGTAAGACAACAAAGCAGCTTTGCAGAGAAGGACCTGGGAGTCCTAGTGTACACAAAGTCAAACGTGAGCCAGCAGTCTGCCGTTGTGACAAAGGCTAATGGTGCCCTGGGCTGTATTAGGAATGTTGACAGCAGCTTGAGGCAGGGGATGCTTCCTCTGCTTGGCACTGGTGAGGCCACAGGTGGGCCGGTTCTGAGCTCACCAGTACAACAGAGACACTGACAGCAAAGAGCTGCCTGGATGATTCAGGGACTGGAGCGTCTCTCCTACAAGGAGGTACTGAGAGAGCTAGGACTGTTCAGCCTGGAGAAGAGCAGGCTTGGGGAATCTTAATGCAAATACTTGAAGGGAGAGCGCAACGAAGATGGAGCCAGGCTGTTTTCAGTGTGCCCAGTGACAGAGGCAGTGGGTGGAAACTGAAACACAGGAAGTTCCTTCTGAGCATCAGAAAACACTTTTTACTGTGAGGGTGACCAAGCAGTTTTGGAGATATTCAAAAGCGGTTTGGACTTGGTCCTTGGCAGCCAAATCCAGGTGACCAGATGACCTCCAGAGCTCCCTTCCAACCTCAGCCATTCTGTGAAGTCTGCTGCTGTCCCAATGAACGAAGTCGTTATCAAAGTTGAACTTGGTGCTGCTATTGTATAACGTATAAACATAAATTTGTAAGGTTTTTTCCAGGGTTGCATTTTCAGGACTCCTCTACTGTAAACTGATTTGGCGGTGGGGAGGATTTTGATTTACTTCTGGCTTGAATCATGTGGCTTTATATACAGCTGTGTTGTTTTATAACCTGGCCGTCAACTTGTATATACTTTTGCTGCTTGACAGAATCTTTTTAAGATAAAAATATAATGTGCCAGGCCACATTAAAAATGCAGAATGTAAAGAAATAATCCACATTTTACAGGAGTCGCATTTGCTGCCGACTAAAACCAGTTTGTGGTAGATTTGTGGCTTTAGTGGCTAGTTCCTCTTTTTTGCGAAGTTGGCTTGAATTCTCCCCTTTAAACTTTGTTGTAAAGAAGAAAAAAAGCACACTATACAGTTTCATGACCTTCCTTACAGGCTTTGCAGGGAGGCGAAAGAGCTCATTTGTCAAATAAGCAATAGAATTGGCTTGACAGCCAGTCAGCCAGCCCTAAACAAAAACTGGGCAATTAGCATTCTGAGTCATGAACCTGAAAGAGAGCTGGGGGGCAGGGTGGGGGCAATAAACTCAGAGGATGAATAAAGATATCTCTACATGGATGCACCACATAGCTCACAATCTCATAGTGTTTTCAGGCATGGTAGACTTCAGCTTGTAGCATAAAGAAGTTTGTCCATGGCAGCTGACTTCCACTCCCCACCCCCAACAGTACCATGAACATTGTTAACATATAAAGAGTCCATACTAAAGGGTCTGTACTAAGCCCAAGCAATTTATACTACCTTTGCTCAGGAGCAGGAAAAAAATGTTCATATTTCACTGGCTTTTTTTAACCACTTCTAGTTGTTTCTTCTGCAGACTTTTAAAAAATAAACTAGACTTGTACAAAATGTCTATTTCTCTCCTTGGTTGTATATATTGGGTAATGTGGTCTTAAGGCTCACTGAGAGTGTTCGTGGTATGATGCTGGTAGGTACTTGGGAATATAAGCTTCCTGTTTCCTTACCTGGAGGAGATTTATATTCAAGGGTAGTGAGATTAAGTTGTGAATTGCTGTTATGTCTACTGAGGCTTTATAAGACTCTCCATAGAGAGGGAGTTTTTAGAAGGTACATACTGTGGTTTTGGGTTATACTTTTAAGTAGGAGGTAGCAAAGGTAGAGATACTGGGGCGGGGGGGGGTGTGGAATCTGCAGATCCTTGCAAAATTTGTCGATTAGGTGTAGTTCATGTAAAAGGTTGGCTGAAATGAAGAGGGAGAAGTGAAAGAGGTTGATTATGTGCAGAAGTCTGGTTTCTAGGCTGTTCTTCTTAAATCAGCATACACTTGGAGTATCAGTGTGATACCTTTATGTGCCAGCGTAGTATTCTTGGTGAGCAGGAGCTCCAAATCTGTATCTGAAGTTTTAAGATAAACTTTTACATGCTGATATAAGGTGATTTAGGCCTGCTTTGGTGTTCTAGGACAGTCTGAACTCCCTATGTAGAAACAGTCACAATTTGTCAGACTGAGTCTGTCTCTCCTTGCCCTGAAATGAAAACTACTGTTGTTTTCAGGAAAAAGTTTTCACTTTTACTATTCCAGTGAGTGGCAGACATCAAAAGGGAGTGATACGCTAGTCACTCTATAATTGTTGTGCGTACATGTCTATCATACAGTTCTAAGACAGGTGCCAACAAGGAAATGGTGCACATATCCTGTGGATCTTTATGGGCTGAAGGGTACCCAAAGCATATATCTTGCTTCTAAGCCAGGACTCTGTGTGTGGATTTTACAAGACTGGGGAGGAGAGAGAGATACTAATATTCACTATGACGTTTAATTTAAATTTCAGTATGTAAACATGCATTATCTAAACAGTAAAATAATTTTACTAGTGTTCCAACACCTTGTAACCATTAAACCTGGAGGAACATAAAAATCTGGATTTTGCCTGTATTTATGCTAGTTATTCACCTAGTGAACTCTGCTCATGGCAAGAAAGCTGGACTAGTTCTTCCTCTTCACTAGACACTTGAAAAGTAA